CTCTCTCTCTCTCTCTCTCTCGCTCGCTCTCTCCTCGCTTATCTCTCTCTCTCTCTCTCTCTCTCTCTCTCTCTCTCTCTCTCTCTTTCCCCTCTCTCTCTCTCTTTCCCCTCTCTCCTCGCTTATCTTTCTCTCTCTCTCTCTCCTCTCTCTCACGATTACAGTTCTTTAGTCCTACGGGTCGTTGGTCCTACGGGTCGCTGGTCCTACGGGTCGTTGGTCCTACGGGTCGTTGGTCCTACGGGTCGCTGGTCCTACGGGTCGTTGGTCCTACGGGTCGTTGGTCCTACGGGTCGTTGGTCCTACGGGTCGTTGGTCCTACGGTGCACGCAGGCACACGTAATTTCTTTAATTGTTTGTTAATTTAATTTTTAATTAAAATTTTTATTAATTTAATTTGTGATTTTTTTTTTAAAATTTAATATAAAGAAGGTACTCTTCATTAATACGCTCTTGATTTCTTTCTGATTTCATGTATATAGCTCTTTTTATTTCCACATCAAGTGATTACATCACCGCAAATAGTAAAAAAAAAAAATTCCCACTTTTTCAAAAAATATAAGTAATTCTGTTCAATTTTTATGGTTAAATTGCTGTATTATACTTCTTATTTTACTATATTGTTCGATGTGAACACACACTCGAGACTCATACATAGCCCATAGCAAGCAATTAATGTTAGGAACACTAATATCAAATCGTCCAGGTTTTTTGCATTTTTAACTAGTTGAGAAACAATCTTATCAGGTAAGAATTTGACGATACGTTTAGTCCCGTTGCTTTTAATGCAAAAAAATGGCAACAAAAATTTTACACATTTTACCATAGAAAATTCGTGACGTTAGTAAATTTAAACAAATACAATTAAAAATTTAAATTAAAAAAATTGTGATTTTAAACAAAATTGGGCATTTACTCTACCTTTCTCACTAATAACCGTAGGACCAACGGTTAGGGATAGGCTCGGTCCGTAGGACCAACGACCCGTAGGACTATAGATCGGTTCCCTGCTCCACGTGGGGGGCTGTGGGTGGGAGCCTGGAGGCGTAGGGGAATTCTGACTCCGTTGGTTTGCGCGGAGTAATGAGGTAATGCCACAGACTAACGTTACCGTACTCCGTTAGTCTGTGGTAATGCCGGCGGGTGGCGGTGGCGGCTGGCTGCCTGTGCGCGATCACTCGTTGTATTTATAGTGAGCTCTTGCACGCGCGCGACCGCCCTCTGACCTCATTGCTGCCAGGAAGCTGCTGCTGCTGCTTGCTGCTTCCCTGACTGCATCCCAGTGCGCGTTTTGCGACGAGAGCTATCCCGTGCGCGCAGATCCGGCTCTCGGAAGCCACTCGGTGAAATCATTCACGCTGACCGTGTTCCGGACGACTCGTCATTGGTGAACTCCAGGCAAAATATGTCGATCACGCCATGCAGCTGCGCGTTCGTTCTCCCGTCCTTCTGTGACACGTCCGTTCGCCGTTGCGGCGAAACACTCGCCGCGTATCTAGACTGTTGAATTGCGCGCGGCGTTGCGATATTGCGACGTGTCACTGCCGGCGTCCGAGTGCCCCCGCGAAAACAGCGGGAGAACGGCGTAATTTTACGTCACGACCCCTAGTGGTCGCCCGTTTGCCCACCCGATCAGACTAACCGGTCGTGACGCACGAAACCGAAGTTTCCGACTATGCCACGCAGGTGCCCGCATCTAGTCGCCACGTGCAGACGAGCGAGGGATGGCCGGAGTGATGGAGCGACGCAGTAGTCGGTCCAAGCTGGTTCGGCAGGCCGCGGAGATAGCCGACGATGACCACGAGGCGATGGAGGGAAGCAGCGCTGCAGCAGCCGCCTCTGCCGCCGCCACCGCCGACGACGAAGCCCTCGACGACGCCCTCGACGACGCCCTCGACGACGGCGGAGTGCCGCAGATAGTCATCGATACGGTGAGTGTCATTCGTCCGTCCGCGCTGCCGCGTAGTGGCTAGTCTCCAGCTCACTGACAGTGACAGCTGAGGCGTGCAGTGAGAGGCTCGGGCAGTCTCTGAGTTGCTGGCAGCTTCCAGGTGACAGGTCGGAGGTCAGGAATTCTCCTGGTTACAGACGTGGGTGGACCGGAAATTTTCCGGGTCACGGATGGGGTACGGGAATTTTCCAGGTTACAGATACGGGGTACTCGAAGCTCCTCTAGTTTTCAGGAGGGATAGCAGTTGTCTTCGGGTTACAGGCACAGTAAGGGGAATTTCCATGTTTACAGACGGTACAGAAAGTACCCGGATCACAGACGGGTTACGGATGTATACAGTGTATGCATATAGTATAGATGAATGTATACGTAGTGGGTATTCTTCTGGCTGGTTGTTTCTATGTGGTTGTGGCATGTCGACTGTTTTATTTAAATCGGAATATTTACGTCGTCGATGCATCCTTCCATGCACGGAAGCTCGAGTACTCTGATAATTGTGATGAACATAGCATTCATGCTGTGAGTGTGGTGAGGGGATATGCCTCTCTGGGAGCTGTTCATATTTCAATAAGTCGATGTGAAGAGATGTGTTCAGGTCACGATATCAATTCATTCTCAGGATCACACTCCATTAGGAGCTGTCCATAGTTTAATACCTTCATAATCATATAAAGAGTTGTTATCAAAGCACGGTATCAGTCGATATGACCACGCTCCATTAGAAGCTGTCTATAGTTTAAAAGCTCAATATAAAGAGATACAATTTACACTCAGGATTATGCTCAATTAGGAGGCGTTCATAGTTTGATATCATACGGTTTGATATGAAAAGATGTGATCACCGCGCGAAATCAATCCCATGTCGATCCCGTTCTCAGCTGCTGAAGTTTTTGTCTGCATCTGTCACGAGAATCACTATATTGCCTTCATGCTGCTGGCTCCATCAGTAGCAGGAGCAGCAGACCGCTGATCTACGTCTACGGCTGCATAAACACGCCGGCGCACTGTTGCATGGTTACATCTGCCATGGGTCATTGCGTAACCGTTGTGCAACCGATGCTCCCGCTGCGCCACCTGCTGACAAAGCTAGCGGCTAACCCCATTGGTGGGAGTGTTACGTGTGAGTGCCAATCTGTATCTTAACTGCCAGCTGAGTCTGTAAGCGCGACGGTAAGGTTGCTGCTTAGCTCTATACCAAGCAGCCGACGTCTAGCGCCCACAGATATATAATCACCATTAGGGTTTCATCAGGCTGGTACCCTACCACAGAATTCGACTGCACGCGTAGACTACCCCCCCACACCTACCCACCTTTCTGATATCCTACCTCCCTCCCCCCCTTCGTCGTATGTATGTATATCAGGGGTTAATAATGACATTATTATAATGTCATTATTAATAAGGTCACTATTATGAACCCGTCCCCTGATGTATATCTATCAGAATATTCCCTATTATCTACTATATATACTTATCTCTATATCTAGCGTATAAGGAAGATAAGAAGATAATTTATAGGCTCTTGCTGATATCTATCTATCCATCTATCTAACACATCGTGAGTTGAGGGCGGTTAGCTCGGTATGTCATTGATCAGTTTCCGCTAGGCTGCACGTACCCCTCCCCCCCCCCACACACACACACCGCCAGCGTCCGTCAACACGCACGCGCCGTCAGCTACTCTGTGCGTTGAGATTATTTCGCGGAGGCTGCTCGCATCAGCACGGACAATAAATCACGCCCGCGAGGTCATACTTTGTCTATCTGCACTGCCTCACATCCCCCATGCATCACACTATATCCCCGCTCACTGCTTCTTCCCCTGTATCACCCTGTACCCTACCCGCCTCCCACTACATCCCCGCTCACTGTTTCATTCTCTGTATCATTCTGTACCCTACCCGCCTCCCACTACATCCCCGCTCACTGTTTCATTCTCTGTATCATTCTGTACCCTACCCGCCTCCCACTACATCCCCGCTCACTGCTTCATCCTCTGTATCATTCTGTACCCTACCCGCCTCCCACTACATCCCCGCCCGCCTCACTGCTTCATCTCTGTATCACCTGCTACCCTAGCCGCCTCCCACGAGTCCCACTACATTACCCGCCTGCACTGCTTCCATCCTGCTGTATCATTCTGTTACCCTACCCGCCTCCGCACTACATCCCGCTCACTGCTTCATCCTCTGTATCACCCTGTGCTTACCCTACGCGCTCCACTACATCCCCGCTCAATGCTTCATGCCTCTGTATCACTGTACCCTTACCCGCTTTCCATACATCCCTGGTCATCTTCATTCTCTGTACATTCTGTACCCTACCGCCTCCAACTTACATTTTTCCCCGCTCACTCTTTCATCCTCTGCTATCACCCTGTACCCTACCCGTCTCCCACTACATCCCGCCTCATTGCTTCGATCATCCTCCTGTATCACCCTGTACCCCTACCCAGCCTGCCCACTACATCCCCGGCTTGACTGTTTCATTCTCTGCATCACCCTGTACATGGCCGCCTCCACTGCCATCTGCTCCTCTTCATTCCCTGCGCCCATCCTCTCCTCGTCCGAACATTCAACCTGTGTCCCTACTAACCCCCGCTCCTTTAGAAGTTCCATCTTTATTTTTCTGCATCCCTCGCCACGCCCTTCCTTCCTTCTCCTTCTCACTGGTATATTCTCATCCTTCTCTCCCTCTTAATTACCTTTCATCTCGTCTCATACTCCCCTCTGCGTTATTTACTGTACGTCTCCCTCATCACTCCTCATCCTACGCGCCGCCTCACATGCATGCGCCGTGATGGATCATTCGCCTAGTCGCGTGTATTTACTGTGTCACGCACGCGCGGGCGGCGACATCGCGCCGATGCGGCTAACCCTGTTTACATTAAATAATAGCTAATAATCATTATATTATATTAATAGCTACAATGTATTATTTGCTCCTTGATTATATACACACATGCCAAGCAGTTCTTCGGCACGGGCGTGTGGTAGCTGCGTCCGGGTTGAGATTCGATTGGGGAAACAAGCATACACTTCTTTTGTCATTATATATATATATACTATTATATATATATATATATATATATTACTTCATAATATAGGGTTATTTACGACCGTGCCCCCCATATATCAAAGCTGCCTTAAATATTATAATATATAAATAATCTTAAAAAAAAAAAAATATATAGACGAATATATATATCACCTGACAACTGCCGGAGGAAATCGGTGATGCACGTATTGTTATATAGATCCCGCCGTCCACCCGCACTCCCTAAGGAAGAATCATATCGCCTTTCTGCTTACCGTGTTTCAGCACATCTTCCTACTCAACAGTGCCCTCAGGTTTGTTCCGAAAATTAATTGACACAACAGCAAAGAAGATAGAAATAGAGAGGAACGAGAGAGATGAGAGAGAGAGACGCATGGCCATGGAGGAATAGGAGGAAAGCAAGAAGAGAGAGGGAGAAGGAGACAAAGAGCAGGGGAAGAGGGGGGGGGGTGGAAACGCGGCGAAGAGCAAGCGCGCCAAAGGGGACAGGAGGGCACAGTGAGAGGGAGAGCCACTGCGACGGGCGAGACAGGAACAGACAGACAGAAGACAGACGCAGACAGACCAAGACAGACAGACAGACAGAGAGCAGACAGACAAGACAGGACCAGACAGCAGACAGATCAGACAGACAGGTACAGACGACAGACAGGACAGAAGACGGAGACGGACGACCGGAGACCGGAGACGGAGACGGAGACGGAGACGGAGCGCGAGACGGCAGACGGAGACGGTGACGCGTGACGGTGAGCGGTGACGGGGACGGTGACGGTGACGAGGACGGAGGACGGAGAGAGAGATGGGAGAGAGAGATGAGCTGAGAGAGAGAGAGAGAGAAGGGAGAGAAGCAGAGAGCGAGAGCAGAGAGAGATCAGAGAGAGGAGAGAGAGAAGAGAGAGAAAAGAGCGAGAGACCAATGAGAGGCGAGATGTACTATATTATTATATATTATAAGATATAATATATATATAGGCAAAATAGCGAAATATGAACGGGAGGGAGAGAGAGGGGGAGGAGAGAGAGAGAGAGAGAGAGAGAGAGAGACAGATCTAGAGCAAGACAGAGCGAGCGAGAGAGGGACGAGAGAGGCGTCGGAACGAGCGAGTGAGCGTTAGCGCGCGGGCTCTGCGTTCAGCAATCTTCTCATCATCAATCGTCGACTCCCATGTTCGGCGCTCTCAGCCATCGTTATCTGTTCCCCTCACGGAAGCTGATGCTTAGTGCGGGAATGAATGCCACGATATGCATGGGCGGGTGGTGCGGGTGGGGGAGCTGGCCAGCGTCATTCGCTGTTTCTTTGTGAGCCGCACGCGCGGCTGTTGTTACGTATAGGGAGCGTGCCCACTGTGAGATGATGACACTGATACACGGCCATGTATAGGCTATATACGTACAGTACGGTGTAGGATAACAGTACATAGATGTACCTTCACATGCTAAACCGGGCCCCGGCAGTGATACGCAACATGATCACGCCGTGGGTACGCTCGCGTCTGAAGGTCACATCGCAGTAGCACGCCACGCACGCACGCACGCATGCCGCCGCGCTCATTACATGCACGCAGCGCGCCGCCCACGCGGTCAACTACTCGCGCCGGCAATTATTAGGCGTGCGTGGGCACGGCCGCACCCTTGCCCGCACGCGCCGCACGCGCACGCGCGGCGCACACCACACGCACACACACTACACACAGTTGCTTGTCTAGCGATTCGTCAATGAAAATATTTTGCCCTTCACTAGCCGATTATATGCTGAGCGTGTGCGCGCCAGCAGTACTAGTGATGATCATTCAGAATGGCAGAAGCGAGCGATAGAGCTCGTCTCTGTTTGCCTGAGTGAGGCCAGATCTTACTAGAGAAACGTAATTCCCCGCTGCGACGTCTGCTGCTAAACAGCCATCGGAATTTTAATCGTCCCAAACT